GCTTACCCCGTGGGCTAAAGTACTGTTGGTATTTGGCTGGGGTAAATTAGAGTCTCTTATAGGCTACTGATTGACAGCAAGGCTTGGGAAAATAAAGGTCACCAGTGGGATTTGAACCCACCGTCTGACGATCTGATAACCACGAGCTTAACCATGTGGCAATTTCAGGGAATTGCTTTTGGCCGTTCATATTTACGTAGATAACAAAACCATTGACCAAGTTATACCGCACAGAATTTTGCTCTGCAAAGACTGAGTAATTACAACGCTACAATAGTGCATCATGTAGCAAAATGCACAAGGGGCCTGCGCACAAATCTCCCTGACAGCTTCTCCTTGGTAAATTAAATGCGCTCATCAATATGAGAGAGTTCCCGGGTGTGGGCATTATCATTGCTGTCTATGGCTGTCTATGGGAATTTTTCTGCACTGAGTGGTACAGCCCTGAACTCTGGCAGGTTGCACTACACCATAATGCGCGCCCATAGAAACCAGTAAAAAATCAGAGCGAAAACGCGCCGCCTGTTGACTCTCGGAGGAGGTTTGTCTCTTTTTTTCAGCGGAAATTCAAGATTATGGCCATACCAGAAGATCACTCTTCCTTTCAACTTTATGGGTTTTAGCCACGATTGTTTTTATTCGCCTTTCCTCGAAGATACCTCCAAAGTAGCAAAACTATTCGCCCAGCTGTGATTGTCGCCGCCCGCCCCTATCCAAATATGCCCGCAATTTAGGGCTTTTGCGAAAGAAATAACCCGAACTGGAAACTGCCAGTCCCAAATTCGGGATTTATAGAAATGTTTCTGTGATCCCTCCTGATTTTGGCATGTCTTATTGTAAGAACCCGTGGGATCACAAAATAGTCATGCGCAGAAATACAACCATTTCGCGAAATGCACCCTCAATAGTATCATGCAGGCCATTTTTTTCCGGGGGAAAGTGAATCGGGAACCGAACAATTCTGCTAAATAACATGTTATATTTTGTGGTGAATGATGATACGTGGTCTATTTCTTCAGATACCTTGCCCTGTGAAGCGAGCCTCTTTACAGCAACTTCCTTATGTACTTGAAAAGTGAGCCATGTTTCTGTCATTTTTATAAGATATTTTTAATATGCTGTCTTAAGCTGTCGTATATTCAGCTGTGTCAAATGTTGATGTAAATATATAGCTCAAAATATCCCTTTCTCCAACCCTATCCCTAACCCTAACCCTATCCCTAACCATTATCCCTAACCCTATCTCTAACCCTACCCCTAACCCCAACCCTAACCATTATGCCTAACCCGATCTCTAACCCTACGCCTAACCCTAAGCCTGTCCCTAACCATACCCCTTACCCTATCTGTAACCCTACCCCAACCTTACCAATAACCCCAACCCTATCCCTAACCATTATTCCTATTCCCTATATCTAACCCTAACCCTATCCACACCCCTAACCCTATCCCTGACCCTACCCCTAACTCTAACCTTACCCCTAACCCCAACCCTATCCCTAACCACTATCTCTAACCCTATCTCGAACCCTACCCCTTACCCTAACCCTATCCCTAAACATTACCCCTAACCCTATCTCTAACCGTATCCCCAACCTTACCCCTATCCCTAACCATTATTCCTATTCTCTATCTCTAACCCTAACCCTATCCACACCACTAACCCTAAGCCTTTCTCTGATCTTACCCCTAACCATAACCCTATCCCTAACCATTATCCCTAACCCTATCCCTAACCGTATCTCTAACCCTATCCCTAACCCTAAACCTAACCCAAACCCTAACCTTACTCCTAACCCC